TTACTCTCCCTTAAAGATTTTTGCGACCTCTTTCACCATGGAGAACATCATTTGCTGACTTTTCATTTCCCTCTCCGCTTCCTTTTCAGCCAGCTTTTCAAAAAATTCGTGGTCGCGTTTTTGGCTCTCATTTAAGAAGGCAAAATATTCTGCGTTGCCACTAGATTCCGTTTTTCTGGACCTTTTAGCTGGAGGCTGGGTTGATGAACTAGCCTTCTTACCCTTCTGGTTTCCATCGCTTCCACGTTTATTCTTGAAGAAAAGTGACTCGGAAAATGCCAGGTCTTCATCCCCGGATTCAGCAGATTTGGCTGATTTTGGGCCCTTTTGTTTGGATGAGTTCGGCGTAGTAGCCAAGCGCTTTTTGCCCTTTTTGGCAGCTGGTTCACGCCTAAAAAGCGCCTCCGAAAGGCTCTGCTCCTCTCCATCCCTGATGCTCTCGTCGTCACCGGACTCTGATAAATCTTCCAATGATGGTCCAGGAATTGCCGCCGGGGCGGAGTTGTCGTCTATGAAACCACATTCAACAACGGTTTTCGGTGTAATTTTGGCTCGGCAGCCCAGCATCTCGTTTAACTCTTCATAATACGTGAAAGATTCACGGTCGTTTCCGCTTTTGTTGTTGTGGTCCTTCACACGTTTGTATTCGTCTTCGAGGTTCTTGATCTTGGACTTGCACTGGGCTGCCGTGCGGATGGACGTGAGTCCCTGTTCCCTCAACAGACTATTCAGTTCTCTGGCAATAGATTCCCACACAGCTGAATTTTGCCTTTTGCTAATTGGATGGTGATCCTTCCAGGTTTCGATAAGAAAACGTATTTCTGCATCCGACCAGTTGGGGGAGCGACCTTTGGTACTGGTATCATTGCTGGAATTTTCAACCCTGGGGCCTTCACTTACACCACTTACACTGGCACTCTGGTATGGGCTCATTTGTGATTCAGCCGGCGAGGCTGGTCGCGAAAAAATCTTGCTTGTGGAAGCCACAGTTGATTTTGGAAGGCCGGAAAAATATATGGACCACGTGCGGGAACGGGGTCGGCAAAGTGATCGCTCACAGGAGGAATAACGAAGCGACGAGATTCCCTAAAGCGTATAATTTGCTACGTTAGCTGAATGCTTTACATCTCGAATGTTTAAAGGACGCGAAAGAAACTCACCTTGCATGGCTTGATAGTGCATCATTTGATGGGTCGCTTCTTGGATCATAAAAAGGAAAAGTATTCGCTCTATGATTATCCATGTTGTTTTGAATGCCGCAGAAGTTTCACGCAGGAATGAATCAAAAATAGCCGGCGTGTTGTATTTCCGATTTGACAGCCCTGTCAAGTTAATAACCACAAACGACTCCTAATTGGCCGAAATTAATTACCAACTCGCTTAAGCTACCTGGTTTAGTGGCTTAAATTTAATGAGAATTCCATTGAAGTTTGCCGACTCGCTTAACTTTAAGCGGGTTGAAAAAACAACTGTTTTCACGGGACTTCCGCTTGTCACTCGCTGAGCGACCTGAAAAACCGCTCGTGAAAACACGGCCATTGTAAAATTGGCACTGACACCATGAAACGACTGAAACCGAAAACGAAATTTACATTTACCTTATCCTTTTCTCCATTTTGTGTCCACCATTGCAAACTTTCTGTAAAAACACATCACAGGCTTTAAAGTTCATATTCAGATCCATTTGTGGCGCTTCGAAATGCGTGCATGCTTGGCGCACAGGAAATTTACCAGAGAGTCACGCAACCGTGCGCACGAGCACACCCGTCACTATTGTGCAACAACATTTCGCAACAGGTTGAAAATACAGCGTTGGTCATATATCCTTGTTTAACTTGGTCTCATCTTTTCTTGAATGGCTCACTGTAGCTACAAAGCGCTTCTAGGTAAGGTCACCCCTTCCCAGGGCACACCTTGCGGTCAGTCCACAGATTATCCTGGTCAGCTGGAATGTATTGCGCTCAAAGACTGTACAAAAGATGTAACTGGCCATTTAAAGACCTTAAACCTCAGCGCAGATGAGGGCTTAGGATCTGAAATAAAGTTGCTGTTAGCCAGAGCAGGTAAATACCACCCTAAAATATAATATTTTGGTCTTTTTATCAGCTATATTATTATTATACGTTTTACTTTTTATCATCATGCACTTGAGGGTGGTTATTCTCAACAAATTCTCCTTCTAGGGGTTTTCTCTGTGGAAGAACATCACTATGCCTTGAGCATTTGTCCAAGGCACAGGGCTGATTTCGGCATCCGCTGGAGGACAGGGAAGACCATGTGTACAGTGCCCAAAGAATTAGCAGTACATAAAACTACAACTGCTAAAGGGAGCCACCGAGTGGAAAGCTTGAAGTCGGCGTTTATTTTCAAAACCACGAACACATGTATTCCAGTTGGATCACGTAAGTTGCAAACTTTTCTGCGAAGATTGGTTAGATAATGGTAATTTTTCACGGTTAAGAATCACATATAAGGTGGCACACAAGGCGAGGAGTTTGCTAGCACTCTATTAAAGAAACAGTAAGAAATTTCCACGAGACAGTGACAAGAGAGGGGAGAGCGTGCAAGGAGAGGGAAAGGCGCTTTTAAGATGTATTAATTATCACGTGTCGCTTGTTTGTGTTACGCAGGGGTCACTTTTGCCTTGGGGGTGCGGGTAATCCAAGCACACCTTGCAGTCCTCATTCAAAATTATTGGTCTTGCGGGCAGGAAGTTCTCTTCTTTCTATGTATGTTTTAAATGTATTGTTTATACAGTATATTGACATTAATTTCTGTTCGTCTGTTCATTTTGTGTTGCTTTTGTTTCTCCATTTAAAGCAATTTGTAAACAATGCAACGAGTATATCAGCAAACAGGCCATGCCCAACCAAACTCTAGTGTTTGCTTCAGGTGGGGTGGAGCCCGTCCCCGGGGTCTCGCACCTGCAAGAGTTACCCGAGCCCCATTTGTTGGTAAGTAGAATAAGAAACACTAGTGTAAATGGTTCGCTTAAGTGGCTCCTTTAACGATGGTATGAAATGTTTTCCTTCCAAAAAGAAATTCATCATTCATTCTTTCATTTCCTTTTTAATCCTTTTTTACTTTAGGGGATTTCTTTTCATTTCTTTCTTTCTTTCTTAACGGGTTTGTGTGGGTGTTGGCTTATGAATAAAATAAAACAAAATAAACATTTTATCATGCTTTATAGTAATTACACAATATATTTGTTTGAACTGTTTCAGGTAGAGGGGGAAACAGGCCGCCGTTCAAGTGCAGAAACAACTAGTAGTGAGTTATCATCTGATGACCTTGCAACTGAACTGAAGAGGCTGGAGATATCGTCAAGAGGGCGGGATGATGAGACGTTCCTCAGTCCGGATACCGGAAGTCTTGTTTCTTCGACGAGTGACGAGGCCCCAACCACTATGCAAGAACCTCGTAAAAAGTTGAACGAATATCTGGTTTCGAAGAACATCCCGCCAATAACTCAGCCCTGGATGGAATGGGATAAAGCTGGAGAGAGCACTAAGAAGAGATACACCAAAAGGACAGTGGAGATCTTTTCTTCAGTCCTACAAGATCTTACACCTAATTATGCAGGTTCTCTTTGGCAAGCGGTCGTCTCGTCCCCTGCCATGAACAAAGCTCTTAAACTTGATGAATTATCACAAACGTCCAAGAATTATCTTCAGGCCTTAGCAGAGGCATACGGTAAAGCTCAAGGGTGGGAGACAAGAAGGCAGATCTTGTCTATCATGTCAGGCGTTGCCAGCTTCAATGATATTTCAAGATTTATACCAGGCTTAACTAGATATCGCTATAGCTTGGCCAACCTGCATCGCTTACAGTATGGTAGCGGGGCTCCCACAACGCACCACCCTTCACCGAGGATAAAGGTTGATCTGAAGCAACTTGACCATTTTTTATCGTATATAACAAGTCCGCATTTGGTGCAGGATCTACCATTTGGGCAGAAAACGTTGAAACTCTCTTCTGGCCACCTGGTTGAGATACCAAACGTCATAAGGACGATGATACCCCAAAGAATAGCACGTCAGTACGCTCAGTACTGCCACCAAACTGGCTTTAAACCATTCAGTGAGCGTACTATGCTTCGTGTATTGGAGGAATGCAAGGCCTCGGTCCGAAAATCTCTCCAAGGACTTGACTACGTGGCCGCAGACGGTGCGCGTGCCTTTGAAGACTTAGAGAATTTAGTCCGCCGACTTGGAGAGCTCGGTCTCGGGAAAGAGTGGGAGTTGCAGTACGTGGAATTGCTCAAGGGTTCAAAATTATACCTTAAAAGTGATTTTAAGGTAAGGCTTAATTAAAAATAATAATACCGTATTTTTTCGAATAAGCGCCCAACCTCGAAAAAGCACCCACCTCGATTAGGTGCCCAGCCTCGAAAAAGTGCCCACCCCCTTTTCCTCCCACGCAAACTAAAATAAGCGCCCACCACCACCCCACCCCTCCCCCTCTAACCCCCCGAAAAATATTGAATAAGTACTCAAGAGACTTCCCCGAAGGCGGAGTTTTCTTCAGAGTATTTTACAGAAACCTTTTGTTACATCTTCGCGTTTGGTACTACCATTTATTGTTTTGTTACAAAATAAACATACTACTTTTGCTGAAAATGGTGAAAATTTAATAAGCGCCCAGCCTCGAATAAGCGCCCACTCTCAAGGTCCAAAAATTTAATAAGCGCCCAGGGCGGTTGATCGAATAAATACAGCAATTGGAAAGAATTTAATCATTCTTTACAAAGACTTTAAGTATAACTTTAAGTATACCATTTATTGTTTTGTTACAAAATAAACATACTACTTTTGCTGAAAATGGTGAAAATTTAATAAGCGCCCAGCCTCGAATAAGCGCCCACTCTCAAGGTCCAAAAATTTAATAAGCGCCCAGGGCGGTTGATCGAATAAATACAGCAATTGGAAAGAATTTAATCATTCTTTACAAAGACTTTAAGTATAAAATTTAAAGAATGATTTTAATTGTCACTATTTGTCACAATAAATGCTGTGTGTTTTAAACATCTTACAGGTCCACGTGTAGTCTACATCTGAGATTGCGAGTCATTGCAGTGTGTTTGCCTTAAGTGACTCCACCAGTCCTGATCTGCAGCAACAGTGTAGCCACAAACACGAAGAATGCTGTGAGCAATGTGAGATCCTGCACTCAACTCTTCAGAACATTTCCTCTGCAGTAGAAAGAGCATCGTTTGCCACGCAAGATGACAAAGAAGAGGCCCTGTTCTTAGTCAACGCTTCTGTGCTTGCCATCCAGTCATGGAAATGTCATCTGCTGAGGTCGGCTCACCAGGACCAGGCTCGTTTGGACGCTATCGACGCTCTTGATCAGGAGACAGTTTTTATCGTCAACGACTGGGCGATGAAGTTTCTTCCTCATAGATACCGTGAGTCCCAAACGGACTGGTTTGGCAAGCGTGGGTTATCATGGCACATATCGGTGGCGTACAGACGGAAGGAGGAGGAACTACAGTGGCAAGCCTTTATCCACGCAGTTCAGTCCTGCAGCCAGGGGAGTTCAGCTGTAGCATCCATAATGCATCATGTCTTGGAAACACTCAAGCACGAGCACCCTGAGATAAACAAAGCCTACTTCAGACAAGACAACGCAGGCTGTTACCACTCCACTCGCACGATACTAGCTTGCAGAGAGATGGCAGCAAGCACTGGAGTAAAAGTAGTCCGCGTAGATTTTAGCGATCCCCAAGGCGGAAAAGGGGCAGCAGACCGGCTGGCTGCAAGCTGTAAAAGACATATCAGGGCGTTTATTGATGAAGGCAATGATGTTTGCACTGCCGATGAGCTTAAAGACGCATTATTATCGCATGGTGGATTGAAAGGTGTAAGAGTTGTTTCCCTTGATACGATCATCGAAACACCTGACAGTGGGCAAACTATTACTGGCATTACAAAACTGAACAATTTTGAGTTTAGCTCTACAGAGTCTGTTACCTGTTGGCGTGCGTATTGTGTTGGTCGCGGAAAAATCATCAATCCAGGATCTTCATCAAGTAAGTATGGGAATTAAAACTAAAAGTGAGCTACTGAGAATTAATGGATGAGTTGCCGCTAAATTTAAGTTCTGTATTAAAATGCAAAAGTGTAAGACCCTTACTTTATTGGAGAACCTTACCATACAATAATTATCTGCAAGTACATGTATCAGATACCTTTGGAGTTCCACGCAATATTCTTGGTTCTGATAAATGAAGAAATGATTGTCGCAGTTGTAAGAGCAATTTAAAGAATTACCATTTTGTTCAATTTTTTGGGTGGCTTAAACGGGAAAACCCATAACTTCTACGTACGTTAGCGCGGCAGCGCTCTACTAACCGAGCTATGAATACCCATGTATTGGGAACATACGTTTATTTCTGTCATGTTTGCTTTAAAAACTTATAAATGATTTGAAAAAGAATTCAGAAAACAACTCTTTATTGGTATTAATTTATTTACCCAAGGTCCTCGATACCAAGTACTTCAGAAATCATTCTCCGAAGGAGATTTTACTTCCTTCCGATGTAAATCTGAAAAACAGGTTGGACAGACAGCTTCAACATCAGCAACTGTGGCCGAGCCATCTGGTGTCATTTCGGAAGACAGTGACCTATCCACAGGGGTTTATTCCTGTCCTCAAGACGGCTGCGTTCGTGTGTTCCAAAGAGTGTCTGCTTTAGAGAAACATCTGTCGGTAGAAAAATGTTCCCGATCCTCGGAGAAATATTCTCTAATGGATTTAGCGAAAATGGGGTACAAGACCCATTTGGAAGAAGGTGTTGGCATATTGCCCTCTCTTAAAGCCCCAGTTGCTCACCAGGAGGGTCACTTTGTACCAAATGAGGGATGGGCCCTCAGAGCAGCAAAGAAGGCGTATAGATTCAGCGAAAAGCAAAAGTCTTACTTACTGGCGAAATTCTCTATCGGTCAAACAACGGGCCGTAAGCTTGACGCCGAGGTTGTGGCGAGGGAAATGAGACGCGCCCGTGGAGCAGATGGTGTGCGACTTTTCCAGTCCTCAGAATTCCTAACCAGTTTGCAGATTGCGTCCTTCTTCTCAAGGCAAAGCGCTACACTACGGCAAAAGGACCCAGCAGATGAAGCCGATATCCGGGCATCTCAAGAGGAAGCTAACTTTAGTGCAGCGAAGGAGGTCGTTGAAACTGTTCAGCTCAACCATCCTCTGGTATACGATCAGTACAACCTATGTGAGATGGCGCTCAGTGGTAACTTGAAAGTCCTCAAGCTACCGATGCTTCAGCGCTTGTGCGAGGATCTCGGCCTTGATGCACCTGTCCCGCCTGTGCGCAAGAAGGCTCCATACTTGGCACTCTTAGAGGAAATAGCCAAAAAGTGCACATGCCGAAAGTAACTCTTTTATTAATAGCTTCCTGGAAGTGTTTTAGCCACAACCAGTTTTATAAAACGGGTTGAAAACGGGGAGAAGGGGTACTCCCTCAAAAAATTGCCAAGGTTCTACTGGTACCTCCTTCCCAGGTTCTCCCTCTTAGGTTGGTGCCTTTTAGAGGATGAAATCTGTGGAGTGGTATCGCCTAGGGTTCGACCGCAGCTGTAGCAGTACCTTTTAGGTTTTTTTTTAACTATGAAAATGAAGGGAACTGTTTTGGGGTTGAACTAAAGCCACTTACGTAATGAGAATATTGCGATCAGAGCCGCCTCCACAGGAAGTGGGACTAACCCCTCCTCCCCAAGTCTGAGAGTCAATGACAAAACCAAACAAAACCAAAAAAACAATATCAAAGAAAGCTCCCCTACCGGGATGAAGTAATGAAATTCATTTTATAACTGCGTTTAGCAAGACCTAAAACAAAGATCTTACTTTGAAAAATACCCTGCGAAAAATTTTTACTTCTAAACGTACTCCTTCCCCACCCCCATCGTGACAACATGTCAAAACGTTTATCCCGCGGGTGGGAAGTTATTGTTGTTGTTGTTGTTTTTTAATATTATTATTCCTACCGGTTCGTGAAAATAATACTTCTTTTTAGAAAAATACTAATTTGAGCAAAATTAACTCGTTTAAGTTTTAAGACCACGCTGGGTGGAAGGGAGAGGGTAACTGAGATTGCGTTACATTTACTGGACTCGAATATCAACATACGGTTTATGACAGAATGCCGTTTGTTTCGATTTCTTAACACATGTAGCCTTACGTGTTTCAGATACTAAAAACAAAAACTGTTTGAAATTGTGAAAACTAACGTCGATTCAAACTCTCCCTGTAGTGGAAAATGGCTTTCAGCAACGTTGTATGATTAAATACCGCCAAAAGCTATAATGTGGCACTTTGCCGGTTATTATTATTGTCGCGGTAATAACTAATTATTTCCAAAATTTCAACGATCTTTCCAGCAAACTACCTTCGTTTTTTTTAAAGTCATACAATTACTATTTCATTCAAGAAACCTTGGCGAACGATAAATATCTAGGAAAACGTCCTGGATGCATGGATAGTTTGACACAAAGGCGGCTGGTTTAACTGATTTATCAGGTTTGTTTACATTACCTTGCGATAACCAAAGTGGACTATCTACATCAAACTGATCTGTTCAAAGCACTGGATGTGTCTCCTATGAGCTCTTGGGTATTTCTATAAGCGGCAAACTTAAAATTGTCAAAGGAAAATTTAGTTTGATATTTTAACGCAAGTGATTGTAACTATAATGTTAGATGTTTGTTATAAATCCAGCGCCATTTTTGCACGTTAACATTGCTCAGAGTTTCGATTCCTTCGAAGGGAAGCGTTCCGAGTTCGACCTTGAAACTTTATTTGGTAAATCTTTAAGACCTATATTTTAGCTCTGCAATGCTTAATTGTTAAAAACTGACATACCAGGAACATTTTTATCCTGATGAATATTAGCTACATTTTGCCGCCATCGAAAGCGGTCTCCGAAGTTGTTTTCTAAATGGCCTGAAAAACCATTGTACTATCATATTTGAAAAGATTAAAACATTGGTAGTGTAGAAGATTGATTGCTTTGAAATTCTTGTTATTTTGAGGTCAACTGAGTTCATTTTAAGACTTCGGCGGAGGTTCATCATCGCACCTTTTGATCAACCAAAAAACCGCACTTTGACCGCATTTTGACCGCACTTTTAATTTTTGCCAAATTTCCCAAGTAAACAAAATCGTTGGAACTTTTGAATATGATTTTTGAAAATAGTCTACCCAAGACTAACTTTGGGCAAAATATCAGGGATTCGCCAAATGGGTCGCTGACCGCCGATTCTCGATCCTTACAGACAGCCACTCTTAAAGGTTTCCAAAAGGAAAAGGGGAGAGGGTAAGAAGTTCTGATGCTAGGAAGGGATGCCATTTGTTCCAGTAACGTATAGAAGGTCAAGTGAATGCCAGAGGTTATGTGTTTTGAATGGACAATTGGATCTAGCTACCAGGGTGTACTCCCTTATATGGCGGGGATATTTCGCCGGACAGGGTATGGGTTTTTACCTCTCTGTCCTTTACAAGGTATATAAATTCGTGTGAGTCTGTCAGCCTGCACGATTGATTTGCTTGATGAATTTTGTTTGTACTCCAAGTATACAAAAGCAATGACTATAACGCGACGTAACGTGAATTTGCTCTATTGCAATTGCCAAATGGATTTAAAACAAGACGGTTTGCATTTGTCCTTTGTCCTGAACGGGGTAATAAAATTGAGGGCGTTGTCCTAAACAGGTTGTTATTTCAGGAATTTTTTGTCCTAAACAGGGTCAGGGTTTCAAGCCCTCAGCGGCTCACCTATACCCAAATATTGGTCGAGTACCCCTCCCCCTAGCCTGCGAATACAGCCGTTTCTCCTTGCTCCTCACCGCTAAGGACGTTTCGCCAGGAGAAGCCTGTGTGACTCAGCGACATAAATTCCTCACCGATGACGTAAAGTCTGTCAGGAAACTGGTCAGGAGCTCTGATTGGTCGACGTAGTAGTTATATTGTTTTACCTTACATTGTTTACAAATAACAGATAAAAGACAAGAGGCCACAAAGGTCAAAAGTGGACGTGATGAATCTGCTACAAAACAGTCAATATTCTTGGAATATATTCTTCTGGAGAAAAAGCATCTGAGTTTTGCTGGAACGCTCTCGCAAAAGATCACAAAACTTTACCATAATCGGCCGGGGAAACATAATTAATATCAAACAAATTTACATTTAGCACCCCATGATTGCCGAATTATTATGTAAACATTGTTTTACGTCACTAGTATGGAATTTCTGTCGCTGAGTCGCAGACGTTCTACCTGACTTGTCATACCATGTACTATTAGACTGCTAAACAGTCCGTATTTTTGCGTATTTAAATACGCGCGAGCAGTCAAACAAAAGGTCTGGAACGAGGCTGAAAACGGAGAGCGACACTGGGGGGAGACGTTAAAAATTTTTCTCTCGCCTCACGCGCGCGTAAGACTCTTAAGCCACGCTTTACCGATTTCTTTACTGATTTTGAGAAAAAACGACTTTTTTGCAGTCTAATGTACTTGCTAATAGTGTGGAAGGTTTGAACTCAGGAGTCGTTTCATAACTAAGTTAGTTTGAGCATGATAGTCTGTGTGAACGTAGTCCAGAACTAACCTGAGATCAGGCCAAATTTTAGCGGTTCTCATACATTCTCATACATACATACCGCCGGAATGTTATTTTCAAAGCGAAACGAAATTTAAAATAGAGCCTGATCTCAGGTTATGTGGAACAGAACTTTTGTTGATGGTGACTGATGGTTCGGAAACCTGTGCGTTAGTCATCTTCAGAGTCAAAGTAAGTATAGTAATAAACTCTGGTTAGCAACTTGATTGGCCAATTGACAATTGACTAACTATAGACGACTAAATAAATGTGGCAATAAATGGATCGAAACACAGCAATGACATTACGAGCCTTCATTACCAATAAGATCACGTCTTTACATATGTACTACCGTACTGTGCTACTTAGGACTACACGGCAATTACTTCCCTTCCATAATTTACTACTGATAGTTCTACGGTCTTTTATTTCGAAAACGCTAGTTAATTTTTTTCCCATAACACTCATTGAGAAGGAAACTATGATACTTAAACTGTCTGCAAACGAAAACAACTTCCAAAGGACTGACGAATTTCAGAAATTTAAAAACAGCGACAAACTAAGTTTACTATAAACAGAAATAGAAAAGACTTTGCAAAAACAAATTGACTGATACGATTTAATGTCAATTGTTACATTAAGATACTTCTGAAAATTAGATATAGTTTTTTTTTTACCCGTATTTCTCGCTAGGGTATAACAAGAGAAGAGAACTACGGATTAAAGCAGCCGTTCATATCAGTCTACTAATCTAACCTGTGTTTACATGCACTAATGCTTCGACTAACGAAAGGAGCTATATGTCACTGAGCAGTCGTTCTTCTTCAGTTCGTTTGCTCGTGGTCATCCAAGTTGTTAATCAAAGCTAACATGCAGAAGCTTGTATGAACATCAGCATGTTCAGGGCCGAGCTTGTCGAGCTGGATGGCCAGAGCACGTTGCTGATACTCCTTAGCTTGCTCGAGGTCACTAAGATCCTTGTAAATTGAAGCTAAGTTATTGTAGCTTGTTGCAACATCAACATGTTATGGGCCGACCTTGTCCAATCTAATCGCTAGAGCACGTTGCTGATACTCCTTGGCTTTCTCGAGGTCTCCTAGGTCCTGGTAAATTAAAGATAAGTTATTGTAGCTTGTTGCAACATCAACATGTTCAGGGCCAAGCTTGTCAAATCTAATTGCTAGAGCACGTTGCTGATACTCCTTGGCTTGCTCGAGGTCACGTAGGTCCCGGTAAATTGAAGCTAAGTTATTGTAGCTTGTTGCAACATCAACATGTTCTGGGCCGACCTTGTCCAATCTAATCGCTAGAGCACGTTGCTGATACTCCTTGGCTTTCTCGAGGTCTCCTAGGTCCTGGTAAATTAAAGATAAGTTATTGTAGCTTGTTGCAACATCAACATGTTCAGGGCCAAGCTTGTCAAATCTAATTGCTAGAGCACGTTGCTGATACTCCTTGGCTTGCTCGAGGTCACGTAGGTCCCGGTAAATTGAAGCCAAGTTATTGTAGCTTCTTGCAACATCAACATGTTCAGGGCCGAGTTTGTCCAGGTTAATCGCTAAAGCACGTTGCTGATACTCCTTGGCTTTCTCGAGGTCTCCAACGTCCTGGTAAATTAAAGATAAGTTATTGTAGCTTGTTGCGACATCAACATTTTCCTTGCCGAGCTTGTCCAGTCTAATCGCTAGAGAACGTTGCTGATACTCCTTGGCTTGCTTGAGGTCACCTAGGTCCTGGTAAATTGAAGCCAAGTTATTGTAGCTTTTGGCAACATCAACATGTTCTGGGCCGAGCTTGTCCAGTCTAATCGCTAGAGCACGTTGCTGATACTCCTTGGCCTTCTCGAGGTCTCCTAGGTCCTGGTCAATTAGAGATAAGTTATTGTAGCTTGTTGCAACATCAACATGTTCAGGTCCGAGCTTGTCCAGCTGAATCGCTAGGGCACGTTCCTGGAACTCCGATCCTTGGCTTGCCCGAGGTCACCAAGCTCCTGGTAAGTTGTAGCTAAGTTATTGTAGCTGGTTGCAACATCAACATGTTCAGGGCCGAGCTTCTCCAGGTTAATCGCTAAAGCGCGTTGCTGATACTCCTTGGCTTGCTCGAGGTCTCCAAGGTCCTGGTGAATTAAAGAGAAGTTATTGTAGCTTGCTGCAACTAAAACATGTTCAGGGCCGAGCTTGTCCAGCTTAATCGCTAGAGCGCGTTGCTGATACTCCTTGGCTTGCCCGAAGTCACCTAGGTCCTGGTAAATTGAAGCTAAGTTACTGTAGCTTGTTGCAACATCAACATGTTCAGGGCCAAGCTTGTCAATTCTAATTGCTAGAGCACTTTGCTGGTACTTCTTGGCTTTATTGAGGTCACCTAGCTTCTGGTAAATTAAAGATAATATATTGTAGCGTACTTCAACATCAACATGTTCAGGGCCAGGCTTGTCCAGTGTAATCACTAGACGTTGCTGGTACTTCTTGGCTGTCTCCAAGTCACCTAGGTAGTAGCAAATTAAACCTAACCTATTGTAGCTCCTTGCAACATCAACATGTTCTGGGCCGAGCTTTTCAAGCTGTACAGTGAGTGAATATTCAAAATATTTTTTTGCCCCAATAAATTCACAATGCATTTCACAAATCTGTGCAAGCTTGTTCAGTTTTTCTGAAAAGTCTTCATCGTGACCTTGGAAAAAATTTTCCTTGGCAAACACTTTGTCTGTCACGATGGCTATGGCCTTTAAATGTGGAACGAGATGAATGGTGTCCAGTCTCTTATTTAATTCTGGAACAGCTTCTATAAATTCGTCAAATGATGTAATAACGGCATTTACGAACTGGGGTGTTTGACTGTCTGTAAAAGTACTTATCGTAGTTTTGATCGCATCATGAACAACTTTGTGCACACGAATGAAGTAGCCACCTTGGTCGTATTCAAAAAGCAAAAGGGAGCATTTTCTTAACTTCATGCGTATTAGTTCCTTGTCCTCTTCTTGAAAGTTCTTGTGTACGTTAATGATATAATTAATTGCTACGTCCACGTTTAATTGTTCTGGTGCGCAGAGGGACAGGAGGGTGAAAAGGTGCTTAACAAGTTCGTCGGATCTCGCTAATGTTTCTACGGCTAGCTTTATTGCTTTTGTCATTGACTTTGGGTAAATCGGGTTTGTATATGCGAGTGTATCCTCGGTAGTTTCTCTTTTCCCAGTTTCTAACATCTTCATGTATTCGTTCCAGCTAAAATGCGTCGAAGCTTTGTCTTGTCGAACATCTTTGACAAAGACGGCAGCACCTGCTAAAGCAAGAGGTTGATAGTCTAGCTTTTGTGCCACTTTTCTCACTAGCTCGCTATCTTTTATTCCAGATACTTTAGCCAATAAGGAACAGGCATCGTCTGGCTCCATACCTTTGCTTGCTGAGATGTGATTAACAAAAGAGCCTTTTGGGGGTATTGATCTTATGTCCTGAGTTGTAATCAGCAACTGACCCCTTGCCCAATTGTCGACTCCAACCTGTGGCAAAAGACCATGCACAGAGGACATGGTAGTGACATTGTCAACGACCAGTAGCCACGACGTATAACAGGTAATTTTTACAGCGATAAGCATCTTAAGATTGGCGATCTTTTCCTTTACATTCCAGTCCTTTGAGCTGAGGGTTTCCATAACCGAATAGTCTGGACACTTTAAATGGCGAGCAAATGAGACGTACGACTCCAAGAGTGACTCTGGACTAGCTGCATTTAAGGTCATCACAAATAAAGAATTGCCTGGGATTTCTTTTACCTCGTCAAAGACCCTCTTAGCTACGAGGCCAGCTAACTGTGATTTGCCACTTCCAGGATTCGCTGAGATGTATAGACAACTCAGCTGGTTGTCACTGGACTCTTTTAGCTCCCTCAGCTGCTGTGCTATTTCTGACACCTCGCGTTCACGACCACTGATATCACGTGAAGGTTTAGGAGGGAGAATACAAAACGATGGCGTTTCTTTCTGAAGCTGATCTTCAAGAACCTGACGTTGATCCTCTTTTTCTTGAACTTCTTGTTTAAGGTCATCAACCTTTTTGAGGATCTGTTGCAATTCTTCTGTCGGAAACGTTTTCTGATTTTTTAAATCTTGAATTTTGACAGTGTGAAGACCAAGCACTTGAAATGCCACCTCAACTTTGCTAACAGCTTTCTGAAAATCTGTGTCGGAGAGACTACCTTGTTTCATATGAGCAAATTCTTCGTTCCTGAATTTTCTAAGACCATCCACATTCATCCTCACAGTTGCGCTAAGACTGGGCCCAACACAATCGGAGAAAAGAATGGCGTAGAAAAGCATTGTGCAATCCCATTCTTCTCTGTTTCCGTTTTGCATGGTGGCTAAAAGATGGGCATTTCTTCTGTGGTTTCGGGCAGACTCTCCGTTATAAAAGTCCATTCCATTCCGAGGTTCGTCTTTCCATTCTCCTGTTGTTAATTTGTGCTGTTTGTCCCATTCTCGTTTAAAAATTTCTCGTAGGCCTTCGGCGAGAATATCAGTAGTTGCAAAACAAATTCTGAAGTAATTCAGCTGCTCTTTGGAGTATTCTTTGGGAAAGGCCATACTTGATGGACGTCTGGTCCTTGGAGCCTTTGGGAAAATAATCCCTTCTGTTAGCAAATCAACTCAAAGGACTAATTAATTTATACCAAAGAACCATAAAAGAAAACAAGGGGCACTTAAAACGAAAATAACTAACAAGAGTAGTGTTGAAATTACTTTCTAATCTCCCGTTTCAAAAAAACTCTACAGTTCGATAACCTTCCTTTGACATTTAACAAAGCAACTTTAGCTTAAGCTATTAAACAAAAACTAAGAGAAGACTTGAAATTTGAATAGGACATCTAAAATGTCGTCATATCAATGACTTACAGCTCTCTTTCAATGCAGTCTCCCCACGCTGTTATAATCGTCTTTATCATTTTCGACTAGTGGAAAATTCTTGCGTTCATGTGCTCCTCTCATACCGTACGACAATTTAAACACTGCCATTAAAAAATTGGAACGCCAAAAGTCGAGCTCCTTGCATTTTCCAGCTCTGTTATACAATTAGACAGAAAACCCAAACGACAAGTAAAGGGGTCTTAAAAATGAATATTTTGCTTAGAATTATAGGATAGAATGTGAGACTATCAGTTAGATATGTTAACCCTCCATCGTAAAGGGGTTGGGGTGGGGGGCTTGGATAGTTTTCCTGTTCCCAAGGGAAGTTTTCTGTAATTTTTAAACAATGATTATGACTATTAGAAACTCTTCTTTTTATTAGCCGTCAGTTTATTTGTAACAACAAATAGCTCAATTACCCCAACGAATAAGCTTTGACACCCTTTAACAAATTAACAGTCGATAGCTATGATTAGGAGATATGACGACATAAGTGATCGACGTTCACTGTGACGTGATCATGTGCCTTAAAACAGATCCAAAGGAAGCCAAATGTCTTTATAAAATAACTAAGATAGTACGCAAGCTCAGATTGGCCGAGAAGAGTGTTTGCATGAGAGTATGTAAACATGGTTGCGGCGTCAAGTTGTTTGGCTTTTCGCGCGCTAATCACGCGAGCACGAATTTGAAAAAGGTTTTGGAGTTCAAAACTCGACAAGTTTACTTTATTTACCCATTCCTTCGTCGGCTGAAACTTGGAAAATCGTTACAAACAAGGTGTGTCAATTTTTTTTCGCTTAAGCTGACATTTTGGGCGAGAAAAATCCGTATTTTGCAAAGTATCTTTTTGCAAACCAAGAACTGATTACGCGTGCAAGACTTCGTGGACAAGATTTTGCGACTGGTAAGAATTTATCTTTTAATCAGTGCCATACAAAGAGTTCTGCGTTTTTTTCTCGGGAAAGTTATTTTATAAAAACAATAGAAAACGTTTTTCCCGTGTTTGCATAGCCTGATATAAACACTCGAGGCGTTGGGAGAATTCTCGACAGTTATGCAAACCCTCGACTTCGTCTCAGGTCTGCATAACTGTCTCGAATTCTCCCAACCCCTCTCGTGTTTATATCAGGCTATGCAAACACGGAAAACGTTTTCTATTACTTAAATATGTTGTGAGTTTTAACTAAGTTTTCAGTAAACCCCACAGTGTAGGCAGTGTTTACCTACGTCACAGGTCACCAGTGGCACGATGAGGCATTTTTATTACAAAAAGTCCTTGTTTTCACTCTCCCCTGTCCTCTTATATCATATGATCTGTCGGCAATTTTGACTGACGTCATGGCTTCCCAGCTGCGTGATATCCCATATATATAACAGAATCTAAGGGGTGACGAATGGTAATGGCGAGCATTCGCGAGCGTGCCGAGCACTGCGCGCGATTTTTTTGCGAACACGAGCAGAAATAAAAAGAGCTGCTTTGCGAGCAGCGAGCAGTTTAGAGAGCACAACTCGCGAGCAGCGACCACTTCTTATATTTTCCGTTTGCAGCAATCCATATATGGAAATCCTTTTCTTTAAAATGAAAATATTTTAAAACGGGGTTTTAATTTAGAGAGCACCAAGTTCTTTGAGGCTAGTTTGAGTGACACCTTATCGAGATCTAACCAATTACAGTCGCGTTTGATGCCAATGACGTCACATTTCCACTTGACTTCATCATGCACGTGTTCGTACGGATCAGAAAGCAAAGGTCACAAGAAGAACAACCATATGGAATAACCATACAGAGTGTTTTCACTCACGTGGCCAGCATCTATGCAAATTTCTTGGAACAAAAGAAAGCGTTTGCATTAGAAAAGAGTTCAACTCCCACAGGACTGGTTTGAGACACCAGCATGGCCGCCGTTCCATTGTTTTGGGACACCAATATGGCCGCCGTGAAGTCATTTGAAAACACTCTATATAACCATATATAGCTAGATTAGCTAATTTATTAGTTATCGTTGTCATTTATCGCGTGCATTTCCACTGAATATTTATCGGAATTAAGCATCATACAGAATATCATTTACTTTAACCCAAAGAATTTACAAAATTTCGAGCAATAAACAAGAAAGCGAGCTTGCGAGCAACTGTAAAAATTTTGGGAGCACGAGCAAGCGAGCACTCGTTTAAATTTTGCGAGCAAATCGAGCAAAGGTAAAATTTTGCGAGCAGTTAAAAATTTTAATGGACCATTCATCACCCCTAATCTAGGTAACTCAAAGTCTGAAGAGACAGCGGAGAACTGGATCGAACTATTCGGCTAAGCCAAGTAAAAACGACTGAAACGTGAGGTGAATTTCAAGGAAAATGATGGGCCGTAAGGAGTTTAAAGGAGTTTAAAGGAGTTTAAAGGAACGACCTCGGGTAAGGAATTTGGAGCTTAATGAGCTCCTAAATGACCTTTTCCTTTTTCAACGTCTTCTGCTAATATGGCCTGTTTTAAATAGGATTCTCTTAATGCTTATAGCGCCCTGTACTGTACTGCAAGCTTAAACTTATTTTTACATTCCTTTGCATGAAAAACAGGCAACTCATTCGTCATACTACAACCAGCGGACACACTAATGATAAAAAAAATAGCCCCGGGAGGAGGGGTACTTCCTTATAAGGGCTTAATGGGGACGTGCGGCCAGCCAGGGTTGTTTTTCGGGATTTTTGTCTTAAACAGGGTATCGATTTTATCAATTTTTGTCTTAAACAGGGTATCTTTTCTTGGACGATAAACAGCCTGCGCGTATGTTCTACAAACTAAACTACAGCAAAATTTTCATTTATTTTCATGGTAAGTACTAGCCTGTTTGAGGCGTTCAGATGAGCGGAGAGTGGCACGAGTGTAGAGCAGAGAGAAAATAACAAGCGGGCGGGAATCGAAAAAGAAAGCAATATGTCAAGTGGCGTCTACATTTTCACTGTCAGCGTATTCGACCTACTCAGCTCTTTGACCCGCAGCTAATCATGTATTTCTTCTTCATATTACGACTAGTTAATTTTTTTTTGGTAACCTGAAGCTTTAGGATGATGACGTGCTATGAAAGTTCAGCCACACATGTTTTTCGCATACCAGTTTTTTTGAACAATTGAGAATGTTTTAGCACCGTAAGCGATACCTCTTCACAGTTACGACTCCAACAGGGTATAGAAGCACAATCATTTTTGTAAGGGAGGTCCCCCCGGGTTTTGCTGTCGACTGTTCCAGGGTGGGGTCGGACAAACGACACTAAGAGCCCAATTAAAAGGGCTCTTTCTTTTCCGTCACCTTCCTTTAAGATATCCGTTCAAAAATTCATATATTTTAAAGGAGAGCCTTATGAAAATAAACATTGTTATGCAAAACAGCTTCCGTCAAGCCTGAACTGACCACACAATCAATGGAGAGGTCAAAAAGCTTGGCGAAACAGGATCAGGAACACGTCGCTTACATTCCTTTCACCACTTTTCGTATTTAGTGTCTTAGTCCATCTAAGAACAGTATCCCTTGTTCACCGCATTCTTAGCAGGATCATGAGTGCGATTCGGCGGGCTCGACATTTTGAACCATTGCTATATAGTGCTGTATATGGGCTGAAAATCAGAAAATTGTCTACACTTTACGTTTAGAGACAGTCTGTTATCTTTGGAAACATGGCAAGTTGACTAAAATACTCAACACTTAGTTAAAAAGAGCTATCATCTCATAACTATAGCGGCAAAAAGCCAAAAGGTTGCCAAATCGACGTCGTTTGAAACGTCAAATTATAGTACCTCTCTACCAAGACTGCGTCAAGCACTGCACCACTCGGATAGTCAGTTTTTGAAGTACTCTTAGCTACTCTTAATATCTTAAGGAACGGTTTTTACTACAAGTAGACACCCATACTTGCATTGATGTAAATGATGTACTTACTGCTGAGGACACAATAAATGCGTTGAGGTTTGAAGCAGTGGTGAAACAATTAGAAAAACACGTCGCTTGCGTAGACTTATGGATTTTGCTGTCTTGTTAAGAAATTCGTTCTAAATGAGGAGAGTATGGATATAAGTTACTTCAGGTCCAACACGGCTCAAACCATACCTTGTAAACATTGCTACGTACAGGCTAAACTTTGTTAAAAGTTTGTTTCCAAAAAACAGCTCATTTTCTTCGTCACCTCCTGGGCAAGGTAACTACGGACACTTAAGGTGACTCGACCCAGTCTTTTTTTGAGGGGTACCATCCTACTTTGAAGCTCTCTGGTATCCCCACCTTTACTTTTATCGTAAGTCTAACACATAGAATGGATAACATATAGATCAATCTACAATATAACATAAAAGTTTTGGCGATCGGAGTAAATGTCACGTGGTTATAATGCCACGCCCCTTTGAGGTCTCAGTCGAAAATCTGCTGTTGTCGGCATTTTTTCGTGAAAATCTCTCGGCTACACATAGTACGCATTAGTGCCTTGCGCTGAACAGAGTTTCACCAAAATCGCAAAGACCCAATTCGAGAAATTCAGCGGTTTCCGAAATTTAGGTCATAATTTAGGCGAAAATGATAAGCAAACTTTACACGATTGTATCTAATAAACTATGAGATTCATCCCTTTATTTTGGGGATCGTTATAACAGATGGGTCCTTGTAAGTCCGCTAAACGCTTTAGGGCCTTGTAAATGCG